TACACGCTAGTCTTCTGCCAGAGAGAAGACACATGTCTGAGGCTCTCAAGTTGCTGGGATAAGGGGCCAACGATATCAATACCAGAGTCTCCAATTCTTGCTGATCAACCACTTTCTCTTAAGTAACAGAGTGACTCTAAACTTTATTTTTACCAGAAAGGAAACAACATACACACGTAGAAACGTGAGGTGAAATCAAGCAACACCACTCAATGTAGATGCTGTGATCTAAATATGATAACGCAAGCTTGGAAGCTTAAAAAAAAACTATGGCGTAAGAAAAACATTTCCTCCTCTCTCTGCCACCCCTTAGCATGCCCCCATTCCAGTTTCCCAGCACGGTTCCTGAAGCTCAGCTTCCTTGATTTTCACAACTTCTAAAATTAACCTCTGAGCTCCTACTGCTGTCTTTGGAGGGGAGCCCTGGCTGCCTCTAACAGAGGCCATAAGATGAGCAGCAGGTGATTCTGATAATCCTTCCCTTTCCTAAAGTAGGCCTTCCCACCTGCTCACTGGAAGCAGGCTGCGGAGGGGGCTGGCATGGGAGGACACAGCCCACTTCCTGGTTGCCTTTCTTCCACCATCCCTGGCGTGTCTGACACACATCCCAGTTCCAGGCAGGGTGCGGGATCCCTCACCCTCCCACTCCCTCCTTTCCCCGGCCCTGTTTCATTCTGTCGCTTTGTGTACTATCTAGAGTTTGTCTCTGGGAAAAGTCCAACCAGGGATTAAATAAACCTTTGAAGATGAGTAATGGTGATCTGGCTTCTCCTGACTTAGTAACAGTGCCTCCACTGGGGTTAAAGATGACTTACAGCGTTTGGCAAAGGGGAACTACAAAGCGAGTACTTTTCTGGGGGGGAGGGGGGGCTTGGGTGAATGAATTTGGCTAGAAGCATAACCCAAAGTTCAGGATAACATGGCAGAAAAGCCCAGCTGTGGCTTCTTGGGAAGCTGTGGCCTCAAGGGCGTGTGAGATACGATCGCGTTCCTTGCAGAACGTTGTCCATGCTGCAAACTGGCAAATCTGAAAAAGATAACGTCACATACACCGTTGGTGCTGCCAGGGGGACAGGATGTTGTAGCCCGAGGTTTTCATGAGATGCACACCGCTGCCTCATTCAAAGTCAAGCACTTCTCTGAAAAGCGAGGCTGAGGGACACGCTGGGAGTCCAGCCCCAGCGATCCATCGTGCCCCGGGCTCCCCTGGGGCAGTGTGGAACCTCCAGAAGATGAAGAGACTTGAGCCGACCAGGGTTCTCACCAGCGTCTTGAGTGTTGTTTCCTTCGTACTCAACATCAGACCCTGGATGGCGGTCAGTCCGCCAGCCCCCAGCCAGCCTTGCAGATGCTGAGCAACGGAAGGATGAGAGGAAAAGATCTAAGTGGCTGCAGTCTGGTGACCTGAAGTGGAATGGCTAGGCAGGGTGAGCAAAGGAAAAGCATTTCAAGCAATCCAGGCCAGCCTCTAACTGCTGGAGTGAACAGCGGCAGGCAGACTGGGCTGGCGGCCCTCGCCCAAACAGGGGCATCATGCAGCCCGTGAGGTGAAAACAAGGGGTTATAACCTTGTTTATAAATAGCTATTTATAAACAGCACCTCTCGAGGAGGTTCTATAAACAGAACCACAGCACCAGCTCAAAGGGAGAACACAGGCAGGCTCTGTGCAGAGCAGAAACATGTGCTCCCGGACCCCCGCTCCTCACTCGTGGGCAGGGGCAGGACTTCTGAGCCTGGATAACATACGTATACATCCATACTGGGACACAGGCACACAAACGCCACTAGGCAGGCACCTACACACCATCACCATGGTTGGGTGTCTGCTGCTTTTAAACATCTGTGCCGAGGGATCACCTCGCTCACTTTTTCCAGCTGGCAGGACAGGGGACGGTGGCTGAATCGTTATCTGTCTATAATGCTTCTCCCTCAAGAAGCGTCTCTGCATCAACTCCTAGGACAGGAAACACGATGCAATGTAAAATCAAATAAAGGGAGGAGGAGGAGGAGGAGTGGAGCAAGCAAAAGCCACCTGAAATCCGAGACCAAGGTGTTGGAGATACGTACCTCTGACTGTGTTTATTAAGAGCTCAAGGACCTGCTGCCTAGCCTCCTGGGTGCCTGGTACAGAGCAGATACACAGCCACCTCCTTCCTCCAGTACTGCTTCAGTCTACAGGGGCTTTTACAACCTGCCCATCTGACCGTGTTCTAGCTTGACTTGCAGATTTTACAAGGGCTAGGAGGCCTGTCTCTCAGTCTGTCATACTGTGGTGGCTGCCTGGTGCTGTGACGCTGGAAGCTGTGCAACCAGTATTTCAAATGGTGGACACATTTCAGTGGAGCTTCCAGACTAAGAAAGACTAGAATGAAAGGCCTAGTGATTTAATTCTAAAAATCAGCCAGTAAAAACCTTACGGATCACAACAGAACGTTGTTCTGGACACGTCATCAGGGTGATCAGTCGCTAGAAGAAGATATAACATGTTTGGTGAAGGTGAAGGTCAACAAGGGCGTGGGAGACCCTCAGTGAGATGGACTGGCACATTAGCCACAATGATGGGCTTGGCGATTGTGAGGATGACGCAGGACTGGGCAATGTTTTGTTCTGTTGTATGTAAGGTCGCCATGCATCAGAGCTGACTTGATGGTACCTAACAACAAAAGGGGGTCAGATGAGAAGATGAATACAAAGATAGTGTCTCTACCTTCTCCTCAGTTTTTAAATTGACTTATCTGCTGCCTCCTGCCCAGGAGTGTCTCCTTCTGTGACTTTTGGAGGCCTCTTGGTTCATTCCTTCCAGGGCCTCTGAGACCCCTCTTGACATGGGGCCTTCATGAAGGCTGTGGCTGAATTTCTCACAATGGTAACAGCTAGGTAGGAAAGCCCTCTAAAAATGACCCTCTAGTGTCAAAACATGAACACTGAGCTTTCAAAACCCAAACTCAGCATGTAAATGTAAATAAGACAAGGGATATGCTGAAAATTATTTCTTTACAGTTTGAGTGTTATAGCGATGGGGGGAGAACTTCATTTAGCCAAGAGAATATTAAAGACAACTAATTCGTCAACTAACCAGCATGTTCCCCTCTAGTTTCCCTTTTCTCTTTAAGAATCCAGTAATGACGGACTTCTATGGATGCTGCTGAGGGCCTGTTAACGATCTACTCCCTTGCCTGTTTCATAATCTCCATTTTCCCACTTAACCCCAACAACCAGTTCATCCTTTTTTTTTTTTTTTTTTTTTAAAACCAATGATCACTTGCGTACAGTGGCTTGGTGCTAAGGAAGCTACTTAAATCTTATGCGGTTCTAATGAAATCAGTATGTTTCCACCATGATGAGTTATGTAACTTGATTTTATAGAAACCATTTCAGACCGTAACCTGATTACAATCCGGACTGCACTCTTCCTGCAATGTCATCTAAGCATGGAGGGGTTTTTTGTTTTTGTTTTTAAACATTTCTCCATAACTTAAAGCACCATTTAAACACTCCACTTCGGGTTAACTGCTAGCTACAGGACTGCGCTGGGTATTCGTCTGCCTAGCAGTGGAGTTTGCTTGTCAGAGGTGTGTGCAATCTAACAGTTCAATTGCTGGCAACCTGCATTTAGCAAAGAGAAAATGAGAATTCTGTACCTGTAGGAGCAGGTAATGGCAGCCCCAGGCAGAGGCACAATTCTCCCTGAGAATGCTCTGCCGCATCTCCTGGGTCTTTTTAAAAATGAACAAATAAAAAAGGATGGAGTCAAATTTCCTCAAGCTGTCAGGAAGGCTGTGACAAGCAGAGGGCTATGAAGGATGGTCTGCAACTCCCTGTCAGTCCACTGCTAACAAAAGACACCTGTTGCACGCCTGCGGCTGGGTACTCTTCTGTGGGAAATACTCTCTTCTCCACAGGTGGGGTACTTCCATTGCTCCAGAGGTCAAGCAGCCACCAGGGAGCCAGAGCCCCAAACGAGCTGAAGTCTCAGCCATCAAGAATGAGCCAGGTGGGGGCCAGCCCCCGGTGGTGTCGTGGTGGGGTCTGCTGCCTCACACCATCTCGGCACCAACGTTACATCATCAGTAGGAAGCTGCGATGCAGCAGAGTCCTGACAACGAGCTGAAGAGACCCTGGTAGACCAGCTGTCTGTCTGCTCAACAGGGTTCTGACTGGGGATGAAGTGTGGATAGAATCACTAGCCTGAAGTTGGGAGGAGAAAGGGGCAAATATCTTAAAGTCCTTTTTCGTCACTTGGCAAGGAGACCTTTCTAAAACCACTGTAGTCTGGCCTCAGAGATGCATTAAGGCCATAAGAAAAAACACCAGGCGTTGGATAGGAGAGAAGCCCAAGTAAGGAAAAGAGTTGTCTCAAGCCTTACACTGCTCCACGGCCAACAGATGGGCAAGACAGGAGCTCTGCTTAGCTAAATCAGCCTTGCCCTTCCATCTATCACCACCTGGAGGGCTGGGTGGGGATGGAACAAGGGGGCACCATGGTGGTTCCATGTCAAGTCTATTCCAAACCCCTGCAGGCCCACCTCGCCAGACTTCTCTCCTCTCTATCTACACAATGGCGGCCTGGTATTAACAAGGTCCCAAAAGGGAAAGATATTTCTAACAATGCGCACTGCTCAGATCCGTTACTGTTAACCTGGCACCACTTAGCCTCTTCCAGCAGCAGTTACAAACTCCCAGGAATAATTCCTGCAGGAGAAAGGAAGGTCACTCCACAGGGACTCATTATGGGGTCTGCTTTGCTTCCCCCAGGTCTTAAGCCCTGACATGATATTAGAACTTTCTCATCTTGGAAACACACCTATCCATGCATTCATACATATGCATGGCTGCATGTTTATATGCATATGAATGTCTTCATGCACTTAGGTAGTTTTTAAAGGGATTCTACAAGGGAAGTTCTACTTTAGCATTAGTTCTTCCTATGGCCTGGTATATAAATGAGAAGGTTAAGTTCACAAACTACGGGCTGTAGGCTATAGAAATATCTACTCACAACCTGCTTGTATCTCAGGGGGAGTATTCAAAAGCATCATGGCAGTGGCAGCATCAATGTCAGGATCTGGAAAAATCAACCAATAAATAACATTATTTACAACGGGGCTGGTGTGTGTGTGTGCTTTCCCCCTATCCAAGTTACAGTTTATGAATGCAATGGAGGAAAAAAATCCAAGAAATAGATGAGCTATCCCAAAAGTACTTTCTTCCCATTTGGATTGGACAGGAAGAAAAGATATTCTAGAATGAGATTTACGGGGTATGCTAGTAGGCTTTTCATCAGATGAGAGTGGGTTCTTCTTATTTCGTTAATTTCATGATTTGCATTGTCTGTTCCTGGTAAGTTGATGCTCTATGGAACCCCCCCCCACCCCGTAGTTTCTTCTCCTGGGGTAGGGAAGTAGGAGTGGGGGTGACGATAGGAAGTTCAGCCACAGGAATCGTAAATGAACTGGGAAAAGCTCACAGCCACTGGAAGAGAATACACCTGCATCTTGTGAAATCCAAATGGTCATTTCCATTTGTCAGCAGAATGTAAATTGTATTTTACAAGGCCGTGTGTGAACACAGCAGAGGAGGTGGAGAAAGCATGAAAAAAAAAAAAGCATTTAAAATATGAAGAAAAAAATTAAAGTTGTGATGTGGAGGGCACAATGTTTCCTTCCACACCTATTATTGCTTTTAATACCAGCCAAAAAGAAAAAAAATAAAGCACTCATCACTTCATTGCTGTCATTCTTAATAGGGTGTCGAATCCTTACTGATCCACCAGTTGACAGATGGCAGGTTATATAGAGACAGAGAAAAATATTATCCTTTTATAACCAAATTCACTTTCCTCTGAGAAACAGCAGCGCTGCTGCTATGGAAATGAAGGTCACCATGGCAACAGTAAACAACCCCCAAGAATGGCCACTGAATTGGCTGAAAAGAACATCTGCCCCAGCGCAGCGTCCCAGCTGCCCTGGGGCGAAATTCACTAATAGTGCGGTGATGCCGTGTGACAGAAGCTGCCGCCTGTGCCCTGTCCAAATAAATGAAGTGTGCAATTGAAGTCGACATCAAAATGCCTGCCCTTGCTGAATACCGCCTCGGTGTCTGCTAAACCCAGTGACTAACGATGGTGGGGCGGGGGGGCCCTGCACTTGTCAGTTTTTGTACAAATTACAAACCAAAAAATTCAATTTACTACTAATGGCTCCGTGGCACTTTATTTTGGGTATTAGGCTAGAAAATTACTTTTTTTACTGTTTAAAAAAAGTACATTTTTCATACTTTATACGTGCTGTTTAATTCCAAGGGCGTAATGTGATGTAATATAAAGCCCCAAGAGCGATGGATAACACTGGGGCCAGAAGACAATGTCTTGGGGGAAGAACAACAAAGCAAATGAACTTTACTCTGCAGGCCTTTTTTCTGTTCTGTCTGCAGGAGGCCCGTTACTTACACTCCCATAATGGAGTGAAAGTTTATTTTAATAAGCACATTGTACGAGAAACAGGTAAATCAACTTATTTGACAACTCCTGGGGTGGAATTCCTAAAACAGTCATTGTTCCCCACAGATATTAAAAATATATATATTAGTTGAATAATTAACTAGAAAAAATGTAAAGGGCCGCTCACTGCTGCCAGGGCTCCCTCTGCTCCTGCTCCTGCATCTCCCCTACAGAACTGCTGTCAAGAAGCAGGACTCATTGTCTGGGGGTTATTTTGCTGGCACCCCACAAGCCATGAGGCACACTCTGAGGCCTTTCCCTCCTTTCTCAGGGAGGAGCCAAGAACACACACTTGTTTCTTCTCATCAAGCAAAGGTTCTTTGCCATCTTTGAGATGCAAGCACTACGGGACACCAGCAGTTGGCTGAGCTAAACAGTCCCAGCCTCCCCAGATAACTCTTCAACAGAGTCCTCCCAGTGGTTTTTCCAAGTGACCAGGAGGTTCACGGGGGCAGAACAAGAGGAAAGAAATCAGGAGTCTTCTCCTATGCATTTTGCCAGAAAATTAAAGAAAGTAGTTCTGTCTTCTTTAAAAACAACGCTGGACCTCAGGAGGGAGGTGTAAGGGCCTTAGACAAAAAGAAGGTATAATGAGAGAAAGGATGAAAGGAGGAGGAGAAAGAGCCTTAAAGGAAAAGTGTATCATCAACACACCGACACAGATTTAGGAGAACCTTCTTGGAAACCCTGGTGGCACAGTGGTTAACAGTTCAGTTGCTAACCAAAAGGTCGACAGTTTGAATCCACCAGGCGCTCCTTGGAAACCTTATGGGGCAGTTCTACTCCATCCTATGGGGTCGCTATGAGTCAGAATCGACTCGACGGCAATGGGTTTGGTGTTTGGTTTTGGTTTAGTTGGGGCACCACCGAAAGACAGCTTGGGGAGTGTTTTAGGCCCACATAATACCCACCAATGTCCCCCACCCCGCTCAAGCCAACCCAAATAAACACATAAACTACGGAAAAACAGGAGGCTTTAGTCCAAGTCCCTCAGTCCCTCCTTCCAACTGGATATGCAGCGTCCGAGACCTCCATAAAAATTCTCATGCTGTCCTAGAACTCCACTTGGTCTCCAGGCATTTTGGGCAGCTACAACACCCAAGCTTCTCATTATCCCACTCATTATGAACTCCTACAACCTTACTCTCCATTGTGACAGGATCCTGAGTAGGAGCCCTTTAGGTAGGCTGGAATAAAGGGCAATGTATGGGATTCCTACCCCCTCTTTCGTATCAGCAGGAGAGGAGGCACATGCAAGAACTGCAAATGGTATGAAAAATATGTAATTATGTGTTCATGCAAGTGTGTGCACACAGGCATGACTGACAGTGCCAGCCCTTCCCCAAGGGGATAGAGTGTCATCTTTTTGAAAATCAACTTTATTGAAGTATTATTAACATACAATAAAATGCACCCCTTCTAAGTGTATACTATGATGAGTTCTGACAAATTTTACACCAGTATTATCACGACCATAATCAAGATAAATGGCACAATCAAGGTATAGATTCCATCAACCCAAAGTTTCCTTGTGACCCCTTGCAGTCATACCCACTCTCACCATGGGCAACCACGATTTATATGATGTTGTAGAGTCTGTAGTTCATTCCTTATTGTTACTCAGCATTCCATTGTATGGACATACAATTTGTTTATCTATTTACTTGCAGATGGACATTTGCATTGTTTCCAGTTTGGAGGTATTATGAAAAAAGCTGCTATAAACTTTTGTACCAATCTTTTATGGACGTATTTTCCTTTCTCTTGAGGAATTGCTGGTAAGTGTATGTTTAACTTCAAAAGAAATTGCCAAACTGTTTTCCAAAGAGACTGCAACAGAGTTCCAGTTGCTCCACATCTTTGCCAACACTTGATATTGCTGATCTTTTTAACTTTAGCCATTGGATGTGTAGTAGTATTTCTTTGTGGTTTTAATTTTTTATTTCCTTAATGATTAATGTTGAGCGCCTTTTCATGTGTTTGTTGGCCATGTGTAGTTCCTCTTTTGTGAGAGTTTGTTCAAATCTTTTGCTCATTTTTTTAAATTCAATTGCTCAATTTATTGAGTTGTAAAATTTCCCTGTGTATTCTGGATATTAGTCCTTTGTGAGACATATTTTCTCTCAGTCGACGGCTTGTCTACTCAGTTTCTTAACACTGTCATTTAATAAGGAGAAGTTTAACATTTTTATAAAATCCAATTTACCCATTTTTTCTTTTATGGTTCATACTTTTTGTGCTCTAAGAAACTTTGCCTAACCCAAAGTTGCAAATATTTTTTCCCGAGTAGCATCTTTTTTCTTTTCTTGTTTGTTAGTATGCTAAATATAATGTTATCTAGGTTCAATACTCAGATTTACAGGTGAATAAAAACAGAAGTAATCAACCAGACCTCTTTCCTTATCCAGTAAGCACAGACCTCCTAGAATTGTATAAACAAATACCAGAAGGACATTCTTTGGCTCCTGGTATGTTGGGGGAACACCAGACAGCCTGAGAGAAGGTTAGTCAGATACATTGCTATGGAAAAGTCTCCTGGAGTCCCAGTTAGAATGCCTGACATATCTTCATGCTATGCGCTTCAGTTTTTTACGATAAAGACAAGAGATATTACGATGCTTATTCTTATCTCTTATTAAAATGCCTAAGTTTCCTTCCCTTTTAGAGGGAAGGAAAAAAAAAACTATGAAAGTACAGTAATGCATGCCCATTGCAAAAAAAAACAAAAACCTACTCTAAGTAAATATAATTTGAAGAATAAACACCTCCCCCAGTCCCACTTTCATGATGTAAGCACTGTTCATATTTTCTTTTATATACCACCAGAAATTTTCAATGAAAATATAAGTATGTGTGTGTCTTCACAGAAACACCAACACACATATATTTCCACTCATGACCATCAACAAAGCTGAACCAGTCTAAAATCCCATATTTAAAAAAAAGAAAAAAAGTCCTCCTTTGTTGCTCATGCTTCAATAATAAATCTTACTTCTTTTCGAGACCGGTTCCCAGAGGCCCATTTCTATTTTCATCTTTAATGCAGTTGTGTTATCACATTGCCTCTTCTCTGCAGTAAAAGACTAAAAATCGGTCACACCTCTAAAGATGTTTTCAAATCTTCTTCCCTTCAATGTGCACACACAAGTACATCATGCTACAGTGAGAGAAACAGGTAATTAAGTTTCTCAAACCAATGGTTCAGCTACTTGGATTTAAAAAAAACTTGCATCACACTTTCCCAAAATGTGGACATGGTTTCTTTTGGGTGCTGGGGAGGCTCTTCTTCTGTGATGGAAAAGGACTAGACATTGGGATTCCTGGGTTCAAGCCCTGGGTCTGCTGCTAATTAACATGTGACTTTTTTTTTTTTTTTTTTTTTTCATTTTGCTAGGCTCGGGTTCACTCATTTTAAAATGAGGGGTGGGGGGGGCTGCAGACTTGGAGGGGGCCAGATTCTTCATCTCATTCATTCTTTGTTCTTCATCTCATGCCACACAGTTCCTGGCTTGGCACATAATGTCCCTTGATTGCTTCCTCCATTTCTGGCTCGTGGCTGCCAGAAC